TGCAGCCCCCACAGCCACCGTCCCCGGACTGCAGCCCCCCGCGGCACCAGTGCATCTCCCGCTGGGAGCAGGGCCAGGCTTCTGCCTCCCCGGGTCTGAGCACCGTTTCATTCCCTGGGCGTCAGACGAACGGGATTACACCCAAAAACCCTGGGCGCTGTGCTACGAAGACGCACAAGCTGACAGCAGATCATGTGTAGGTTTCATCCTGATTTCACTTTGTGTTAAAGATTACAGTACGTGGGAGTTAGTGGGGAAAATGAGAAAAAAAATTAACCCTATGAGCTGGAGGAAGCAAAATGCAGCTAATGAACAGGAATCGGTTTCAGCGTGGATCGCTGCAGAATGCTTTGGCAAAACTTAAGCTCTAAATAACTATTCACCTCAAACCTGCTGGCGTCTTCAGTGAACGACTTGTAGTTATTAAAAGCTTCCCAAATACACCCAGAGGAAAAATAGGTTAAAAGCATGACCACAAAATCGTAAAGCATTTAATCTCATTTGCTAGTTGGAGCACGAGGAGGGACTGCAGAACGTTTAGGTGGTCTTCTGTAGTGAGATGCCGAGATGAAGCTCGTTCCTAGCAAACACAACCCACCACCATCACTTCTTACCAATTAACAGCCCGAAGGCTGTGGTGAGCTTGCTTTCCCTGCGGAAAGAAACCCCAGTCGAGCAGCTGAGGGAAAGGCTTCTCCAGCTCAGCCTTCCCAGAGGTTTGTGTATAAAGGCAGGGATTGCCGGGGGCCTCCAAGGCTGGGGGGCAGGTTGTCTTCCACAGATACATCACAGCAAGAAGTGCCGAAAGGCAAATACTAAAGACCAGTCTTGCCAAGTTCCCCAGGGTCTCATGGCTCCAGCCACCACACTGCCCGGAGGAGATCGCTTGGTTTTTGCGCTGGCAGTGTCCAACGCACCCCGTCTGACCAGCTTCCTCACTGATGGGGTGGCCCACAAAAAGAGCAGGAACTTCACACGAGGCTGTGCGGCTCAGCTCCATGCTCCAGCCGGTGCAGGGGAGGCTGTGACATCTCGGCGCGCGTACAGCACGGAGTCACATCGGAGCAGGACGCGGCTTGAGGTGTTTGTTACCTCTGTAGGTCACAGGGTCTGGAAGGCGGAAAATAAATGGTGTCTAAAACGTGTCTGCCGATCCTTCTTGGTGCTCGGTGGGAGGCTCCCGCACGCTCCCATGAGGCAAAGATGCCAAGCACCGTTGCCTGCCATGGCTGGTCATCATCAGAAGGGATCTTCATTAATAACGTCTCAGGACGGACCTCAGTAACGACCTGGGTAACCAGCAGGCCAGTCGCACGGCTCTCTTCAGCGGGGCAAGGCGGCCTGGAGCGAGCTTCCAGCAGTTCGGGAGGAAAGCGCAGGAACTCTGCAGGCGCTCGAGGGCCCGAGGCCTGCGGGGAAGGGGGGTCTCCCCGGCTGCTACACGCCCTACGCCGCCAGCCAGCTTCGCCGTGTCGGAGAGACGCGTTGCAGAAGGGCTGTAAGCAGCCACTGCCGGACCAACCTCGACGCGCGGTTCTACATTCTGCTGCGCCTGTGTGTTGGGGAGCTTTTTTCAGACACGAGTTAGCAGAACATTTCATTTCCTAACTGAAAGCAAAGAGAGAAACAGACCACGAAAGGCTGGGAAATGAATACAATTTGAAACCTCGAGAAGCAGATTCAGAGAATATCCTGTTTTTATGCTCTCTCTCCGTTTAATTCATCTGCCATTCCAAACAAGACGTGCCTCAGCTGAATGAAGTCTCCAATAATCACATAATAGGAGAAGTCATTTATTGGGAATCAGGCTCATTCTCCGGCGATATAAATAGGCTGTGCTGTTCCACAGTCTTTTGTCAGCAGGGATTAATTGGCAATTGACCCTTGGCTGGGATTTCTTCGCTACCTCCACATTTTTCATCTTATAGGGCTAAACGAGATCTTAACACTGCTCTGAGAAGCTATGCTTCCTAAGCAGCAGTTTAATTTATCTTTCAGCTATAAATCAGCAGTTTAATTTATCACTAGGTTACATATCAACAGTGAATAGTCAGGGTGGAACTGAGTTTATTATAAAGAAGTTCTGTTAGAAGACACAGTATTACAGCGACTGAAACATGCTGTTAAATTTTCCATTAATGCCCAATTCTGAATATGAACACGGAGAACCACACTTCACATACTTTACATTTAGCTTTCTAATAAATAAGTTCAATAAATAGGGACTTTGCAGATTAAGAAGCTGTATGTGTGAACAGAAGCTGCTTTACAACGTTGTCAAAAAATAACTAGAGCTATTCTTGTTTGTTACCAAATCACCGGAAATTAGTAAGTAAAATATAAATATTTTACCCTTGCTATGAAGACTGGAGGAACGTAGACCTGTTAAAATCACCCTTAGGATTACATAGAACTTAATTTTGTACACTAAATTTAGAGCATGCTTTCATACCATTTTTAGCACACAATATTTTAAAGTACATTTCTTAAAAATATGAGAAACGAATAAGACTGCCCATGTAAGGTTTCGCCTGCGCTCTGATCGCTAGCTCTTGTGTAACACAATATTGCAGTTTGGCTAATTTTGGACGACCTATTCCACATTTGGAAAAGATATATAACAAAGGGCCAGATTTAGTCTGTAGTATATTGCAACATCTTGTTAATACAGTAATTTATTTGTCACAGTACAAAAAAAAATTACTTTCTCCCAATTATATATATAACATATAATCCATTTCTATTATCCATTTTAATAACTATTTTCTTGGGACACAACTCTTACATGATCTCTAAAGACTGCCAGGAACAGAAATATTCTCGTACCAAACGAAAACACGAGTAAATCAAGCAACTGTAGCTTCACTTGTCCGAAAGGCGCAGTTCTTTTCGGCACACACATTTCCCACGTTCTACCCGTAAGGAACTCCAGCAGGGCTCCCAGCCCCGGCAGCCGAGCGCCCGCGCCGCAGCGAGATGCCAGCCAACC